ACATGCATACAGCCATGCATGCTATGCCCATACATGCATACAACTAGGTATGCTATGCCCATAAACACATACAGCCAGGCTTGCTATCCCCGTACACACATACAGATAGGCATGCCATCCCCATACACCCATACAGCCAGGCATACCATGCCCATTCACACACACAGACAGGCATGCTATGCCCATATACACATACAGTCAGGCATGCGATGCCCATACACACACACAGCCACGCATGCTATGCCCATACACACATACAGCCTGGCACGTTATGCCCATACATGCATACAGCCAGGCACGTTATGCCCATACATGAATACAGCCAGGCACGTTATGCACATACACGCATACAACTAGGCATGCTATGCCCATACATGCATACAGCCATGCATGCTATGCGCATACATGCATACAACTAGGTATGCTATGCCCATACACACATACAGCCAGGCATACCATGCCCCTACACACACACAGCCAGGCATGCTATGCCCATATACACATACAGCCAAGCATGTTATGCCCATACATGCATACAGCCAGGCACGTTATGCACATACACGCATACAACTAGGCATGCTTTGCCCATACACACATACAGCTAGGCATGCCATCCCCATACACACATACAGCCAGGCATACCATGCCCATACACACACACAGCCAAGCATTCTATGTCCATACACACATACAGCTAGGCATGCCATCCCCATACACACATACAGCCAGGCATACCATGTCCATACACACACACAGCCAGGAATGCTATGCCCATATACAAATACAGTCAGGCATGCATACCCATACACATACACAGCCAGGCATGCTATGCCCATACACACATACAGCTTGGCATGCGATGCCCATATATGCGTACAGCCAGGCACGTTATGCACATACACGCATACAACTAGGCATGCTTTGCCCATACACACATACAGCCAAGCATGCTATGCCCGTACATGCATACAGCATGCATGCTATGCCCATACATGCAGACAGCATGCATGCTATGCCCATACATGCTTACAACTAGGTATGCTATGCCCATACACACATACAGCCAGGCATGCTATGCCCATACACACAGACAGCTAGGTATGCCATGCACATACACACATACAGCCAGGCATGCTATGCCCATACATACATACAGCCTGGCATGCTATGCCCATACACGCATACAGCCAGGCACGTTATGCACATACACGCATACAACTAGGCATGCTATGCCCATACACACATACAGCCAGGCATGCTATGCCAATACATGCATACAGACATGCATTCTATGCCCATACATGCATACAGCCATGCATGCTATGCCCATACATGCATACAGCCATGCATGCGATGCCCATACATGCATACAACTAGGTATGCTATGCCCATACACACATAGAGCCAGGCATGCTATGCCCATACACACATACAGCCAGGCATGCTATGCCAATACATGCATACAGCCATGCATTCTATGCCCATACATGCATACAGCCATGCATTCTATGCCCATACATGCATACAGCCATGCATGCAATGCCCATACATGCATACAACTAGGTATGATATGCCCATACACACATACAGCCAGGCATGCTATGCCCATACACACATACAGCTAGGCATGCCATCCCCATACACACATACAGCGAGGTATACCATGCCCATACCCACACACAGCCAGGCATGCTATGCCCATATACACATACAGTCAGGCATGCCATGCCCATATACACATACAGTCAGGCATGCCATGCCCATACACACACACAGCCAGGCATGCCATGCCCATACACACGCACCAGTCAATGTTGATAAGTTTGCGGCACATCACGTTGCCCACTACTGCTGGGTTGAATGCATTCACCTGAGGGGGTGAGCAGAGACACGGTAGGGAGAGGCAGGGTAAGGAAAGGAGGAGGGTGTGGGGAGGAGAAAAGCCAAGCCACAGAATGTCGCACCGAGTCACACTGCTGGCTGCTGCGAGGTTGAAAGCATTGACCTGAGAGGGTGAGATGAGACGCGGTAGGGGCAGGATCGGGGAAGGAGGGAGGCGTGGGGCGGAGAGAGGAGATATGAGAGAGGAGAGAGGAGAGAGGAGATAGGAGAGAGGAGATAGGAGAGAGGAGATAGGAGAGAGGAGATAAGAGAGAGAAGATAGGAGATAGGAGAGAGGAGATTGGAGAGAGGAGAGTGGATATAGGAGAAAGGAGAGAGGAGAGGGGAGAGAGGAGAGAGGACAGAGGAGATACGAGAGGGGATAGGAGAGAGGAGAGAGGAGAGAGGAGAGAGCGCACGGCACCTGCGCGCATGGCGGCAGCCCCGTCGCGCACGGTGGCAGCACGCACGGCGCCAGCGCACGGCACCACTGCGCACAACGGCTGTGCGCACGGTGCCACCGCGCACCGCGCTAGCATTCACGGCAGCGCGCACCGGGCCAGCGCGCATGGCGCCAGAGCGCACCGGACCATCGAGGACGGCGCCACCGCGACAGCGCCAGCGCGCGTGGCGTCACCGCAGACGGCGCCAGCACGCGCGGCGTCAGCGCGGACAACGCCAGCGCGCGCGGCACAAGGCGCACAGTGCCAGTGTGCAAGGCGCCAAAGCGCACTGTGCCTCTAGCACGCCAGCACGTCGCAGCGCCATAACGTGGCAGAGAGCGTGGTAGGGAGCTGTGGTAGGGAAGAACTGTGGGGAAGAATCTAGAAGAGGTAGACGAGCCAGCGAGAAGGGAGCTGTGGTAGGGAAGAACTTCAAAGGGGAAGAATCTTGAAGGTGGCAGGGAAAATTGACTACAGTGAACGTTCTCTGCCTTCGCTTGACGCTATGCAAATATACAGCCAAGGTCTAGCAAATCTCGACTACAGTGAACGTTCTTTGCCTGTGGTTTCGGCAATTGCACAGTCAAACTGCAACTCGACAGTCAAGATCGAAACAAACTAATAAGGGAGAAAAAACTGCCCAAGTTTGCTTAGGAATTCAGCGAACGACCCTGAAACTGTACTCATGCAACTGCAAACTCAAGGTTAAAAAAACTCAAGGTTCCATTAAATTTCGAAAAAAGATGCAGTCACACTGCAACTTGATAGCCAACTTCAAAACGAACCAATCATCTTGACGGTGTGCCATGCCATCATTCCACGTGAAACACTGCAACTAAAAAGTCAAGCTTGAATAAAAAAGCCACAACAGTAAAAATATTTTGCCTCTCGTCTCGGCAAAAATGCATACTTTCTAATAGCTACAGAGAAGTACACGCCTATTAACGTCATCATTAGTTTACTACATATCATACAACTATGGCATCCATATTAACCATTTGCTGTTGTTTTTCAACCAAACCTTTTTATCATGTTGAGATTTGTAGAAAAATCATGGCATTGTTCTCGTTTATACAGTTCTCATCAAAATCCCCTGATTGCTTCAAATCATGTTCACGCTCATCTCCAATCTGAAAAACAATTGCACATAGCTTACCTTACAAACGAACTATCTTACCTATTTATTTGCATGAAATAATTGCTCTTTCATTTCTATCAAGCTGCTACGCAACCCCAACGACGCATTGGCGTCGAGCCTTGTCTACACTACGAAGGTGCACTCAGCCTGACTCGACTTGTTTTTAGACCTTCACAATACAACTATAGATAAGAATTTGGGAATATAGTGAGACATTTTATCTGCCTGGATTAATGGTAAAAAATAGATCTGTTATGGAATCAAACCATGGCCTTTTAACCATTATGTTTTGACCAAATTGTCACCACCTCCTAAACAGGTTTTTTAAGAAATGAGTGCATCTCTACCTTCCCAATTGGCTTGAGACCCAAAATCGAGGAACGGCAGATCTCCTGTTTGCAGCGAGTATGACACTCACTCACCTACGTTTTGTGCAACTGGCATTCCCTAGGTCAGCGCGGCAGCGCTGTGCTGCCAGGACCGCGAGCTAGCAAAGGGCGCTTTCTGATCCGACTGACACATTTCAGTCTGTATGCATGTACATTCGGGAGCAGCCGAGCTGAGGACACATTGCGTCCGTTTTGCAAGATCGCAGGTTTTTTTCCCCCCGATTTCAACATTTTTTCCGAAATCGATTTCGACATTCACGGCTGATCTTCGGTTTCGATTTCTCCCGCTAAAAGTATGTACCAGATTTGCAGTTTCTAATCCTCGATATCATTTTGTAGCGCTCGAAATGCTTTTATCGCCAACAAAATTCGTCAAAACAAGGCAACCAGCCAATTGTCTCGTAAAACAATTCCAACCATTCATTTTCACCTGTTTGGTTTCGCCTCGCGAACGCACGAAGCTCTGTAGATTTCGTGACTGTTTGGGGTGGACGATCTGTTACTTCGGTGCGCAATCGATCGGGCGTCCGACATAAAACCGATTTGGCGCGAGTGTCGTGAAAGTGATCTTGTGAGACAATCTTGGTTCCTGGCCGTTTCAGTGCGAGGATCGCAAAATGATCGTCGAACCGGACGCAATGTACCGCGTCCTGAGCCACTCTCAGGACGCGCAACATGGCGTCCGTTTCGGAGGATCGTGGGAAAAAAGTTCGCTTCTCTGCTCTGTTTAGGATTTCGATTCTGACTGAATAAAAACGATCGCCAATATCGATCTCATACGTGACATAGGCATGTTCCAGATCTGCAACATGTCAGGAGGATTTGCCTTGTCACATTCTTCGCAATGGCGAGTTGGCAAAGCGCTCTTGATTTCGTGGCTTTTGGGGATGGGGTGATCTGGTACTTAGTCGAGGATACCCGTTTGTGTTTTGGACACGGGATTGATTCCCGGTTTTGTTTCGAAAGTGATCTTCCCCTTCGATCTGGTGCACGACTATTTCTAGGCAACTGTAGCTGTCGGGTTACCCGCTTTCTACAGTGCGAGGATCGCAAAACGATCGTCGAAACGGACGCGATGTAGCGCGTCCTCAGTGGTGCGAGCGATAGAGGTTCTAAGACCTCTTAGTGGAAGAAACTTTCTAGGACTTCTAGTGCTGATAGAAACACTCGCAGTTCTTTTGAGCATAGTATGCGAAGTCCACAATGCCTCCGTCGCACGACCCCAGGGCTGGCAGGCTGGATCGCCACCTTCCCCGCGGCCGCGCCAGAATACTTGGCCGCTTGGTCGTACTCTCTATAGTGCTCTCCTTCGTCTACGTACTAGCACTGCTGACGAGTCCAGCGTTCCTATTCCGTCCCGCGGCACCGCACCGGCAGCCGTCCGCGCTGCCGCAGAGCGGGTGCGAGACGGCGAGGAACTGCACGGGGTCGCTGCTGGACCGCTACGTGTACCTCCAACACGACGCGGAGTTCAGGTGAGTCCGTCTCCTCATGAGCTTACTGCCCTCGCGTGCCATTATCTGGTGCTCGTCGAGTATACTTTGGCACACAATGGCCCTCTGCTGGACTGGCACGTGCACCCCAAGCACGATACGGGAGAGGGCACATCCTCGAGGTGCCTCTGCGCTCTTGCCTTGTTGCGCATCACACGCCGTTTCCCAACCGTCACCCGTGCCGTTGTGCGCAGCTGGAAGGACACGGGCAACAGAATGAGGGCGAAGGAGAAGGGCGGGTGGTGGACGGGGTACATCCTCGAGGTCACTCTGCACCGCTGGCTCAATGCGTCCGCCACCAACCGCCACGTGTGGTGGCACTTCATGACGCTCATGGTGCGATGTGGTTCGTTAATTGGGGGGTAATGTGATTCCTCCAGTGGTTGGTAGCTCAGAACTCCCTGCTTACCAAACACCAACCGCCACCTATGGTGGCACGTCTTGACGCTCGTGGTGGGATGGGATGGGGTTGGATCTGTGGTTGGTAGTTCGTTCTCCGTCTACCGCCATCCGCCACCTGCGATGGTGATGGGATGTGGCGTCACTTCGTGACGGTCATGGTGAGGTGCGGCTTCATTCCTGCTATGGGATGCGGGATGATGTGATGAAGGGACATGGGGCGAATGTGATGAAGGGGGAGATGACGCCGCTGCTGGCGCCTCGTGATCCTCACAGTCTTACCATGTCTCATGGTAAGATTTGATTCGATGCGCGCACTGGGATGTGGTATGTTATGTTTGGCTGTGTGATACAAGCGATGGCTGGGAGGAACGGATACGCTTTCCCAGGAATGTCCACATCCATGCACTTCCAATCTCTGCTTCATTCCTCCCCCCCGATCCCCCACTCCCCCACTCCCCCCGCCCCCACCCCTCCTCCCCGCGCCGGCCCCCACCATTCATCCCAGGCGCCAGAAGGGTTTAGGGTTCTTCGTCGCTGGAGATGATATGGTACCGTAATGTTTTGAGGGGATGTAGTATGACCTTCTCCCACGTACCTCTTCTTGTTCTGGTCCCACGCGCCTTTCTCCGCCAGCCCCCCAGCTCCCCACCACCCCTCCTCTCAACCTCCAGACCCCATGCACAACGCGCACAAAGCTATGGTGCAGCCCGCCGGCTGTAGCATGACTTGCTCCTCCCCTCCCCTTCCTGTCCGCTTGTCCCACCGCTTGCCTCAGGCACCGGACCGCATGCACGGGGCGCACAAGGGCTTAGTGCTGTTCTTCGTGGGCGCGGGGTGGAGCGTGAAGAACAGGTTGCTCGTGCCCTCCAAGGACGGCACCTTCTTCCGCCTCGCCGCCCCGTGCGCCTCCTCCTCTCCCAAGCCTGCCTGCGCTGCCGTGCCATACCTCATGCGTACCCCATGTGCTGCCGTGCTGAACTCCCTGCGTACCCCATGTGTTAATGCCAAACCCCATGCGTTAATGCCAAACCCCATGTGTTGTGTTAATGCTAAACCCCATGTGTTAATGCCAAACCCCATGTGTTAATGCCCCATACGTATGATTGCGCTGCCTTGCTATGGGTGCTCTCCGTTGCCATACCCCATGCCTCTCTGCCATACCCCATGCCTCTCTGCCATCCCCCATGCCTCTCTGCCATCTCCCATGCCTCTCTGCCATCCCCCATGCCCCTCTGCCATCCCCCATGCCTCTCTGCCATCCCCCATGCCTCTCTACCATCCCCCATGCCCCTCTGCCATCCCCCATGCCTCTCTGCCCCGTGCGTGTGGATGCCCATGCCTTCAACATGCTGCATATCTCCTTGCATGTCCATCCACCCTGCTCCACATGGCTGCCTGCCTACTCTTTACCATCCTTGCTCCTCTCTTTCCTTCTGCATGCTCATCCTCTTAGCCTTTCTACCATGTGTTTCGCTGCGCCTTCGTTGTATCACAGCATTTCGTGCAGCCATACCTCTCTTTGTGTCGCCATACTGCATACTTCCTCTCTACCACACCCCTCCATCACACCCTGCTACCACAACCCTTCACGACACCCCTCCACCGTGCATGTGTGTCGTGCATGTGTGTCGTGCATGTGTGTCGTGCATGTGTGTCGTGCATGTGGGTCGTGCATGTGGGTCTTGCATGTGGGTCTTGCATGTGGGTCTTGCATGTGGTTCGTGCATGTGGTTCGTGCATGTGGGTCGTGCATGTGGGTTGTGCATGTGGGTCGTGCATGTGGGTTGTGCATGTGGGTTGTGCATGTGTGTTGTGCATGTGGGTCGTGCATGTGGGTTGTGCATGTGTGTCGTGCATGTCTGTCGTGCATGTGGGTCGTGCATGTGTGTCGTGCATGTGTGTCGTGCATGTGTGTCGTGCATGTGTGTCGTGCATGTGGGTCGTGCATGTGGGTCGTGCATGTGTGTCGTGCATGTGTGTCGTGCATGTGTGTCGTGCATGTGTGTCGTGCATGTGTGTCGTGCATGTGTGTCGTGGATGTGTGTCATGCCTGTGGACCACACCCCTCTCCCATTCCTGTGCGCAGACTGGTGGTGGATCTTGGCATTCTGGGGGTCATGCTAGACCAGGTACCCATGCTCCTCTTGCCATGCTTGATCAATTACCCATGCACTTGTGACCATGCTCATGCTGATACCTTCTTTTGCTCAAAACGGTGCCGACCAAAATCTATATGATGAGAGGTTTCGATATGCTTATATATAATAGTTCTTGACGTTAGTTATCCATCCTAAAAGGGACGAGGCTTTTAGATTCGAACGTTGAATCCTGTAAAAAGCAGCTTAACTCATCGCTCACACTTCACTCAAGGGGTTCTTTTATCCGTTTAAGCAGAAAAAAAAGCATTTACAAGTCCCAAACCACACACAAGCCTGTTGCACCTTCAATCAAACCACATATGCAAGAGAGAGACGTGTGACGGGAGAGAGGATGTTGTAACATATGATGGCATCATATGATGTTGTAGCATATGATGGCATCATATGTTGTTGTAGTAGCATATGATGGCATCATATGATGTTGTAGCATATGATGGCATCATATGATGGCATCACTCAACTTCTTTTACACCTAAAAGAAAGAAGTCTGTGTAGATGCTCAAAACTATGTTTCAGTATCATATGCTTATGATACGAACGAAGAGGAGGATAAGAGAGAAACCTTACAGATGCATCAATCTTGTTAACAAGCCAATGGTAGAGGGGATCGAGCCATTTAGCTTATTGCCATCTCTATGATTGTGAAAGGCTATGTTGGAAAAAACGCGTTTCGCGTTTAGTACGCTAGCGTATATACGCTAGCGTATATACGCAAAACGCTATGGGTAAGGGGGTCTGGTACGCAGGAAAAACGGTGGCCCGGGCAGCAAAAAAAACTTTCCCGGGCAGGTGGAAATTTGGGGTAAGAGGCGGGAATGGGGGGGTTTACAAAGCACCCCAAATCCCCATCCCCATTTTATTGATAGGCAAATTTCGTACATCAGAATACCCGCATATTACTACTACCCTCCCCAATACTCTAACCTCCTATGCACCCCCCTTCCACAACACCTCCCCCTGCAGCCCCCTTCCACTACTCCCCCCCCCCTTTTTTGCAGTCCCCCTCCACTACTCCACCCCATTCCCCACCTCCTCCTCCCGCAGGTCAGTCAGCTCTACTCGTACTCATCGGCAAGCACAGCATCCTCCCCCTCCTCTTCGTCCCCCTCCTCCTGCTCGATGTACCCCTCCGGAATGGGGGGCTCCTCAATATTCCCGCTGACCACCCCCTGCCCCTCCGCGACCGAGTGCCAGTTGTGCACAACTTTCCAGTTGTGCGCAACGTACACGAGATCGTTGAGCTTCTCCGACCCCAAGCGGTTGCGCTTGGCCGTGTGGACCGACTCCCACACGGCCCAGTTGCGCTCGCATGCTGCCGCCGACACGGGCTGTGTGAGGACGCGGCACGCAAGCGTGGCGAGCTCGGGAAAGTCCGTGCCGTGCCAGTTCCACCACTGCACGACACTCTGCCTCCCCTCCTTCACAGCCTCGCGGTCCGCAATGGCAGCAGGGAGGCCGAAGCTCCCTTGCAGGTTCAGGAAGGCCGTTAAGCCTTCCTGAAGCACAAGGGAGGCACGGCGCTCCTCGCCATCCCTGCGGGTGATGGTGAGGTGGTCGTAGTGGCGGGAGATGTACGACTTGAAGACGCGGGTGCACTCGATGTCGGTGCGGAAAATGCCCTCCTCTTGGTTGGCCGGATTTAGGATCCGGCCAACCACGTGCATGGGGCAGGCGAGCCCCCCATCCCATCGTTTTTTCACAATTTTATTCACCTCCGCCACCTCTCCCCTTGTGAGCCTCCCCTCCGCATGCTCGTCGAGGAAATCCGAGACGTCCTCGGTGAGCTGGAGCATGGTGTCGTACATGCGGCCCATCATGCCCTTTGCCGTGGCATCGGTGGCTCGCATGACGATGAAGGGTTTCTCCAGCAGCTTGATGAAAAACTCCGCCAGCTGCCACCACAAGGCGTCCATCACTTGTGCCTTGAACATCTCACCACCCACCTTCCTCCCCCCCACCGCCCACCCTCTCCACTCCTCGCTCAGGACCATCTGAACAAGGCTGAGCCGAACGTCGCACAGTCGGGACACAGCGATGAATTGTGTCCCGAACCGCGTGCCCGCTGGCTTGAGGACCTGCCGCCCCTTGCCGCCGTTGACGTGTTTGCTCCTCAGGTAGCCGCGGGTGAAGTGGTGGGCGCGGACGAAGTTGATCATGTCAGACGCCGTGTCCACCACGTCCTTCGCCCACGTCATCTTCCCGACATCTTCCATGAGAAGGTCGAGAACGTGGGTGGCGCAGGGGACGGTCTCGATGTGCGGGAATTCCGCCACGAGCTCCCGGCATGCCACGGCATAGTTTGAGCCGCCATCCATGCAAAGGGCCACGACGTTGTCGGGCCCGACCCTCCTCAGGATCGGGCGGAGGAGGCTCGCGATGTAGCCGCCCGTCTTCGACTCCATTCTCGTATCAATCGACTCGGTGAAAACGGCTCCCGAGTCGTTGATGAGAAGAATGTTCGCTTGGGGGCGTCCGCAGCCGTCGGTCATCATGTCCGACGCGATGGTGACCCCGTCGCGGCGCCAGCTCGCGGCAATCGGCGCCAAGGCCGCCGCGATGCGCTTGCGGCACTTCTGCAAGCCCGCCCCTCCGATGTAACGGCGCTTCGGAGGAACGTACGTCGCGCCCGCGCGAGCGATGCAGCTAACGGCGTTCCTCCAAAGAGGGTGGTCTGCGTGATGCTCGGGAAGTCGAAGGCCGGCGAAGAGCAGGCAAAGCGCTTCGTCTGCCGCCTCCTTCGCGCATGTCCCTTCGTCGCCGAAGAAGTCGGTGATGCGGGACCTCTTCCCTTCGCCATCGCGAGCAGCGCCGCGCACCGCACCGAGTGCGGCTGCCTCCGCCGCGCGCTTTCGTTCGCGCGCCTGCAGCTTCGAATTGTACGAAGTCTTCACGGCGTCACGGGCAGACTTGGGAGCCGAGGGGCAGAGCCGCACTTCGCGACGTCTCATGCCGGACCAGCTGGTGATGTGTTGAGCGCAGCGGTACATGCCGCCGACGAACTTGAACTCACAATACTTGCAGATCTTCGTCGCGCTATCGCTTGAGTCGTCGATTGGGACGTTGAAGTGGCGGAACACGACATGCGTGCTGTCGGGGCAAAAGAGTGTGCTGCTAGTAGAAGCCTCCGCGGAAACAGGGGCTGCCGCAGCTGAAGGGGAAGACGGAGTGGGTCTAGGCGTGGAGGCCATGCTGGAGACGGAAGGGGAAGCTAGAGAAGAGAATGAGTTCGAAATGCTAGAATGGCTGCTCTTTATGCTTGGAAAGCGTACTCTGTTAGGGGAAAAGGGAGTTGGACATTGGGTTGGGAGAGGTGTGGGAATGACGGGGTGGAGTGGGGTGGTTAGCGGTGTGATAGGGGGTTTGGTGCGCCTCGGCTTTGAAATTCGAAATTTGATGTTGATTTCGCGATGTGCGAAACCCCCGAATAGTTTCGCCCCGTCGCGAACTGTCGCGGAAATTTTGGTTTTTCTTTGCGGTCAGCCCGTGCGTATTTTGGCGAATCTACACCCAAAACGCAGCGTACGAATTTTGCTCGCGTATAAACGCAAAACGCAAACTGAAATTTGCGTTTTTTCCAACATAGGTGAAAGGAATGTGGGATGAGGAAGACAAACGAAGGCAATGAAGAAAAACGGCCAAAGTGGGCAAGCTATAGACTGTGGAGCGGGGTCTTAGAGGAGGATTAAAGGAAAGGAAAGAGCGGGGCAGGAAAGTCGAATGCTCATTGTTCATTATGTTGCGACTGCATTCGCCAGAATCAATGCTCCTCAAAACTTCTTTTACACCCATATTCCATTTTTTCACCCCCTTATGTGCCCAGGTTCACTCTCTGTCACCCCTCAAGGTGCCCATGATGCGCATTGGCATGTACATGGTGGCCCCTCTGCCCTCTCCCTATGCCCTCTCCGAGAGGCACCCATTCTCCGTATGCCCTCTCTCCCCTGCACCCCCCAGGTGCCCATGATGCCCATCGACTTCTACATGGGTCCACCCGGGGTGGGCAAGGCGCTCATGCTGGAGGAGGAGGAGATCATGGCGCGTGAGTCATGGGATGAGGGAGGGAGGAGGAGATCATGGCGCGTGAGTGGGGCAACGGGCTAAGCCCTGGGAGCGGAGTGAGTGTGGTGGGGTGGTTGTGGCAGTTGAGTGGTGGGCCTGTGACTATGGCGTGTGGGTGATAGGGCTGTGACTAAGGCGATTGAGTGGTGCTGTGGGCTAAGGTTTGAGGCAAGGAAGTTGTAGTCACAATAGGCAAGGGAGAGTGATGGTGTGAGTGGGAGGCATTGACCATTAACCTCTCCCCCCTGCCTCCTTATCCTGGCTGCTGTGCACAAGCCAGCCTCCTTATCCTGGCTGCTGTGCGCAAGCCAGCCTCCTTATCCTGGCTGCTGTGCGCAAGCCAGCCTCCTTATCCTGGCTGCTGTGCGCAAGCCAGCCTCCTTATCCTGGCTGCTGTGCGCAAGCCAGCCTCCTTATCCTGGCTGCTGTGCGCAAGCCAGCCTCCTTATCCTGGCTGCTGTGCGCAAGCCAGCCTCCTTATCCTGGCTGCTGTGCGCAAGCCAGCCTCCTTATCCTGGCTGCTGTGCGCAAGCCAGCCTCCTTATCCTGGCTGCTGTGCGCAAGCCAGCCTCCTTATCCTGGCTGCTGTGCGCAAGCCAGCCTCCTTATCCTGGCTGCTGTGCGCAAGCCAGCCTCCTTATCCTGGCTGCTGTGCGCAAGCCAGCCTCCTTATCCTGGCTGCTGTGCGCAAGCCAGCCTCCTTATCCTGGCTGCTGTGCGCAAGCCAGCCTCCTTATCCTGGCTGCTGTGCGCAAGCCAGCCTCCTTATCCTGGCTGCTGTGCGCAAGCCAGCCTCCTTATCCTGGCTGCTGTGCGCAAGCCAGCCTCCTTATCCTGGCTGCTGTGCGCAAGCCAGCCTCCTTATCCTGGCTGCTGTGCGCAAGCCAGCCTCCTTATCCTGGCTGCTGTGCGCAAGCCAGCCTCCTTATCCTGGCTGCTGTGCGCAAGCCAGCCTCCTTATCCTGGCTGCTGTGCGCAAGCCAGCCTCCTTATCCTGGCTGCTGTGCGCAAGCCAGCCTCCTTATCCTGGCTGCTGTGCGCAAGCCAGCCTCCTTATCCTGGCTGCTGTGCGCAAGCCAGCCTCCTTATCCTGGCTGCTGTGCGCAAGCCAGCCTCCTTATCCTGGCTGCTGTGCGCAAGCCAGCCTCCTTATCCTGGCTGCTGTGCGCAAGCCAGCCTCCTTATCCTGGCTGCTGTGCGCAAGCCAGCCTCCTTATCCTGGCTGCTGTGCGCAAGCCAGCCTCCTTATCCTGGCTGCTGTGCTGTGCGCAAGCCAGCCTCCTTATCCTGGCTGCTGTGCGCAAGCCAGCCTCCTTATCCTGGCTGCTGTGCGCAAGCCAGCCTCCTTATCCTGGCTGCTGTGCGCAAGCCAGCCTCCTTATCCTGGCTGCTGTGCGCAAGCCAGCCTCCTTATCCTGGCTGCTGTGCGCAAGCCAGCCTCCTTATCCTGGCTGCTGTGCGCAAGCCAGCCTCCTTATCCTGGCTGCTGTGCGCAAGCCAGCCTCCTTATCCTGGCTGCTGTGCGCAAGCCAGCCTCCTTATCCTGGCTGCTGTGCGCAAGCCAGCCTCCTTATCCTGGCTGCTGTGCGCAAGCCAGCCTCCTTATCCTGGCTGCTGTGCGCAAGCCAGCCTCCTTATCCTGGCTGCTGTGCGCAAGCCAGCCTCCTTATCCTGGCTGCTGTGCGCAAGCCAGCCTCCTTATCCTGGCTGCTGTGCGCAAGCCAGCCTCCTTATCCTGGCTGCTGTGCGCAAGCCAGCCTCCTTATCCTGGCTGCTGTGCGCAAGCCAGCCTCCTTATCCTGGCTGCTGTGCGCAAGCCAGCCTCCTTATCCTGGCTGCTGTGCGCAAGCCAGCCTCCTTATCCTGGCTGCTGTGCGCAAGCCAGCCTCCTTATCCTGGCTGCTGTGCGCAAGCCAGCCTCCTTATCCTGGCTGCTGTGCGCAAGCCAGCCTCCTTATCCTGGCTGCTGTGCGCAAGCCAGCCTCCTTATCCTGGCTGCTGTGCGCAAGCCAGCCTCCTTATCCTGGCTGCTGTGCGCAAGCCAGCCTCCTTATCCTGGCTGCTGTGCGCAAGCCAGCCTCCTTATCCTGGCTGCTGTGCGCAAGCCAGCCTCCTTATCCTGGCTGCTGTGCGCAAGCCAGCCTCCTTATCCTGGCTGCTGTGCGCAAGCCAGCCTCCTTATCCTGGCTGCTGTGCGCAAGCCAGCCTCCTTATCCTGGCTGCTGTGCGCAAGCCAGCCTCCTTATCCTGGCTGCTGTGCGCAAGCCAGCCTCCTTATCCTGGCTGCTGTGCGCAAGCCAGCCTCCTTATCCTGGCTGCTGTGCGCAAGCCAGCCTCCTTATCCTGGCTGCTGTGCGCAAGCCAGCCTCCTTATCCTGGCTGCTGTGCGCAAGCCAGCCTCCTTATCCTGGCTGCTGTGCGCAAGCCAGCCTCCTTATCCTGGCTGCTGTGCGCAAGCCAGCCTCCTTATCCTGGCTGCTGTGCGCAAGCCAGCCTCCTTATCCTGGCTGCTGTGCGCAAGCCAGCCTCCTTATCCTGGCTGCTGTGCGCAAGCCAGCCTCCTTATCCTGGCTGCTGTGCGCAAGCCAGCCTCCTTATCCTGGCTGCTGTGCGCAAGCCAGCCTCCTTATCCTGGCTGCTGTGCGCAAGCCAGCCTCCTTATCCTGGCTGCTGTGCGCAAGCCAGCCTCCTTATCCTGGCTGCTGTGCGCAAGCCAGCCTCCTTATCCTGGCTGCTGTGCGCAAGCCAGCCTCCTTATCCTGGCTGCTGTGCGCAAGCCAGCCTCCTTATCCTGGCTGCTGTGCGCAAGCCAGCCTCCTTATCCTGGCTGCTGTGCGCAAGCCAGCCTCCTTATCCTGGCTGCTGTGCGCAAGCCAGCCTCCTTATCCTGGCTGCTGTGCGCAAGCCAGCCTCCTTATCCTGGCTGCTGTGCGCAAGCCAGCCTCCTTATCCTGGCTGCTGTGCGCAAGCCAGCCTCCTTATCCTGGCTGCTGTGCGCAAGCCAGCCTCCTTATCCTGGCTGCTGTGCGCAAGCCAGCCTCCTTATCCTGGCTGCTGTGCGCAAGCCAGCCTCCTTATCCTGGCTGCTGTGCGCAAGCCAGCCTCCTTATCCTGGCTGCTGTGCGCAAGCCAGCCCTCCTGTATCCACCTGGCTGCTGTGCGCAAGCCAGCCTCCTTATCCTGGCTGCTGTGCGCAAGCCAGCCTCCTTATCCTGGCTGCTGTGCGCAAGCCAGCCTCCTTATCCTGGCTGCTGTGCGCAAGCCAGCCTCCTTATCCTGGCTGCTGTGCGCAAGCCAGCCTCCTTATCCACGCTGCTGTGCGCAAGCCAGCCTCCTTATCCACGCTGCTGTGCGCAAGCCAGCCTCCTTATCCACGCTGCTGTGCGCAAGCCAGCCTCCTTATCCACGCTGCTGTGCGCAAGCCAGCCTCCTTATCCTGGCTGCTGTGCGCAAGCCAGCCTCCTTATCCTGGCTGCTGTGCGCAAGCCAGCCTCCTTATCCTGGCTGCTGTGTGCAAGCCAGCCTCCTTATCCTGGCTGCTGTGCGCAAGCCAGCCTCCTTATCCTGGCTGCTGTGCGCAAGCCAGCCTCCTTATCCTGGCTGCTGTGCGCAAGCCAGCCTCCTTATCCACGCTGCTGTGCGCAAGCCAGCCTCCTTATCCACGCTGCTGTGCGCAAGCCAGCCTCCTTATCCTGGCTGCTGTGCGCAAGCCAGCCTCCTTATCCTGGCTGCTGTGCGCAAGCCAGCCTCCTTATCCTGGCTGCTGTGCGCAAGCCAGCCTCCGTATCCTGGCTGCTGTGCGCAAGCCAGCCTCCTTATCCACGCTGCTGTGCGCAAGCCAGCCTCCTTATCCTGGCTGCTGTGCGCAAGCCAGCCTCCTTATCCACGCTGCTGTGCGCAAGCCAGCCTCCTTATCCACGCTGCTGTGCGCAAGCCAGCCTCCTTATCCACGCTGCTGTGCACAAGCCAGCCTCCTTATCCACGCTGCTGTGCGCAAGCCAGCCTCCTTATCCACGCTGCTGTGCACAAGCCAGCCTCCTTATCCACGCTGCTGTGCACAAGCCAGCCTCCTTATCCACGCTGCTGTGCACAAGCCAGCCCCACGTTCCTCCTTAACCCCAGCGATTACGGGCCATGGGGTTCCGCATGCTCCAGTCGGTCATGCAAAACCTTAAGGTTCTCATGGCTCTCCTCTGCCCCGCACTTGACGTGCTGATGGCTCTCCTCTGCCCCGCCGTGCTGCTTCCTCCTTGCCCCTGCCTCCTCCTCTTCCTCCCTTCCACAACAGACGCAACGCCGATTAAGAGTAGGCCGTGGACTTCTCCATGGTCAAGCCGGTTGTCTTGTCAACAGATGCTGGTGCTTATCTCTTCCCCCTATTCCCCCCTATTCCCCCCTATTCCCCCCTATTCCCCCCTATTCCCCCCTATTCCCCCCTTCCCCCCCCTTTTCCCCCCTATTCCCCCCCTATTACGGCCTAAAACCCCCTTTTCCCCCCCTATTTCCCCCCCTACTTCCCAAGGCCTGTTTGAACCCTTCCCTCCAGGTGCCACGTCCATGTGTCTGCTGAGCCCCAGCGACGACTGTGAGTGGGCCGTGGAGTTCCCCGTGGTCAATCCGCAGCTGGTGCTTCTCACTTGCCCATGTTTCCCCATGCGTGCCACACCACGTATCACTTCCCCCTATCCCCCCCCCTCCAATGCAGATGCCACGGCCATGTTTCTGCTGAACCCCAGCGACTACGAGTGGGCCATGGAGTTCCCCATGGCCAAGTCCGTGGTGCGCGGCTTCGATGTCGCGCAGCTCGCAGCTCGGGCGCTGCTGCCCTCCGTGCCTGTGAGTGAGTGCAGCATGTGAGTGCAGCGTGTGAGTGCAGCATGTGAGTGCAGCATATTAGTATTTGCAGGCAACTATGCGCATTTATGCTGTCCGTGCCTATGAGTGCAGCGTGTTAGTGTTTGCATGTGACGTTGGAGATAGGCTGCAATGTTGCACACTTGTGTGTCAGTCATTTGTTTGTTTAGGGTTAGGAATGTTTGTTAGGTTGGGTGTAGCCTTTTTATCTCCAACCTATCCCAACCCAATCCATCCCAAATCCCCACGATTTGGGAGGATTCCCTTGGGATTCCCTCCGATTCCCCTTATCCCTTCCAACCCTCTCCTATGGTTGATACTTAAGCTTGTATGCCCTTTCTCATTTTAATCAATCAAAGTCCCATTTTCTTACATGGTATCAGAGCTCGTTTCCGCCTAAGCGGCTCTTGATCCTCTCGCTCCGTTGGAGCTTAGCATTTGCGTCTTACAACGCAAAGCTTCTCTAGCCGCCTCAACTCAGCGCGGCTCTTCTCTTCAGGCTGACGCCCGTCGCCTCACATCTGCGCGGCTCTTCTCTTCGGGCTGACGCCCGTCGCCCCGCATCTGCACGGCGCTTCTCTTCGGGCTGACGCCCGTCGCCCCGCATCTGCGCAGCTCTTCTCTTCGGGCTGACGCCCGTCGCCCCGCATCTGCGCGGCTCTTCTCTTGGGGCTGACGCCCGTCGCCCCGCATCTGCGCGGCGCTTCTCCTCGGGCTGACGCTCGTCGCCCCGCATCTGCGCGGCTCTTCTCTTCGGGCCGCCGCCCGTCGCCCCATATCTGCACAGCACCTTATGTCGGGCTGCCGCCCGTCGCCCTGCATTTGCTCATCGCACCTATCTCGGGCCGTCGCCCGTCGCCCTGCATCTGCGCGTCGAAGCTGAACGGGCTGCCGCCCGTCGCCCTTGCAACGGCAGGGGGTCTGAGCGGCGTAGCAGAACGGGTGCAGCAGCGGGTGCAGCGGCGTAGCAGTATAGAAGGAGCAGTTTTGATCACTATTTCGTAACTTTCCGGACGGCTCGTTTCCTATTGAGTTCTGACAAATCGACACTCCGAGCATGGAAAATCCGCTTCAGAAAAGCGTCATTTTCGTGGAGCCCGCGCTGCGCGCAGCTCTTAAGAGCTGAAGTTCCTATCGCCGAAGTTCCTCTCAGCGACTTAAGAGCTGCGCTCTGCGCAGGAGAAATGGGCCCTTTACACCATGGCCTTCCCCTCTGCGTCCCTTGGTACCCCAATCACTCCGTTGCGCCTTGACCCCAACGGCACAAGCCCCAATTTCAAGGAATGGAGCTACGGCATCGACAAGCACCTTCTGAGCCGCAAGGTCGAAGGCATCTGCCTTAAGAATGTCCTGCTCAACCGCGGCAAAGGGAAGATGCCCACTCCATCCACGGAACTCCAGGCGAATGCCACTGAAGAAGAATCCAAGGCGCACGAAGATCTGACAACCAAGTATGAGGAAACTTACAGTGTGTGGGAGCAGGCCGACGCAGCTATCATTGGCGTGTTCGTCAGCACCACTCCTTCCGAGCTAGTTAAAACGTATCATAACTACTCGTCCGTCCATGCCATCTGGGAGTACTTCAACGACCGCTTCCTCAACAAAACTGTTGTGGGGGTGGCAATCCTCATTCATCGCATGTTTCAAGTGCGCTTGGAGGAATGCCCTGGCATGGCAGACTATGTGGCAGAGATTCAGGGTATTCACCAAGGGCTGAAGCAGCTTGGCATTGTTTTCCCAGAACAAGCCCCTGCCGCAGCTCTCCTCGTTGGGTTGACTCCGTCCTACAATGTCACCCGCTCCATGCTCCTCCACCTCCCGCCGGAAGAGCTCATCTTCGCTAAAGTCTCCTCTGCGCTTCTTTCTTCCGAGATAGACAATACCCCCCAGGCTCGAGCAAATGCACTTCGCGCCCCAAGCTCCTCCCCAACTGCGCGTCCCAATGCGCCCCCAGCTCGTAACCGCTACCCGCCTTGCCCATACGTCATTAAAATGGGCCCTCGCGCAAGGCAGGTCTGCGGTGGCACCAGCCACCCACTCGCCACGTGCTTCAAAAAGAAAGACGACGAGTGGTTTGGAAAGAATGGCGTCAACTCCAAGCCACCCAATTGGCTCCGCATGCGCCAGACCAACAAGCTTGAAGATCAGACTAGTCAGGATGCAATTGTTGACAACTTTAGTCCTGATGTTCGTCTCAACCTGTTGTTCCCAGGCGATGCCATGATAAATGAAACCACTTCGCAGTACTCGGTGCCTGAACGCTCCTCGACACTCGAATTCGTTCTTCATAGCGGAGCAACCCACACCGTCCTCAAGGACAAAGAGTCCTTCAAACCATACCAAGCATCCATCCCTTTACTCGGTGCCGACTCGAGCTTCACCACCCTCGCCCATGGCTCATCCACACTTCCATGCCCGGCATTCCCTTCCGACTCTGTCACTGGTATATGCCTTCCCACGCTAAGGCACAATCTTCTCGCACAGCACGAAATTCAGCGGGCAGGGGTCACCACCATCTTCCCCGCTCACTCCAACCATTGTGATCTCATAGATCCAACCTGCAATGCGCGTTTCGCGCGCTTCACTCTCTCCTCCAACAACCTCTATACGCTTCAAGTGCCTCCATCTCGCACTGAAGTTCACACGACCTCCACGTGCTCGTGTCGCCACCTCTCCGACCCTACCTTGCTTTTCCACCACCGGCTCGGGCATCCCAATTTTCGCACTCTCTCAGAGCTCGCCTCCAAGAAACTCCTTCTCCATCTTCTCGACTCTCTTCCCCCACCATCGCCTTCACTAGCACCTCTCTGTCTGGACTGTACACAAAGTAAATTGCGTCAATTGCCTCACCCTCTGCCGCGGCCGCCCCCCTTGATCTCATCCATATGGATCTCTGGGGGCCGGCGCCTGTTCAATCCCATGGCGGGCATTCATACTTCTTGGTACTCGTGGACGATCACTCTCGCTACGCATCCGTCCACCTCCTTTCCTCCAAAGCAGCGGTTCCTGATACCGTCATCGCTTGGGTTCGGCAAGCTCAAACCCACTTTCGCACCTCCGTCAAGTGTCTCCATTCCGACGGCGGTGGCGAGTTCCGCAATCACACCCTTCACACATTTTGTGCTTCGCAAGGAATTCGCCAAACCTTCACTGTTCCGCACAGCCCGGAGCAGAATGGCATCGCGGAAAGCCGCAATCGCACTCTTGTGCAAATTGCCCGCTGTCTTCTCACGCACGCTGCCGCTCCATCCTCCCTTTGGGGATACGCTCTCCTTCACGCCACCCTCCTCTACAACCTTCACCCTCATCCCCTTCGCCCCGAGGTCACGCCTGCCGAGCTCTGGACAGGCTCCAAGCCAAGTGCACGCCCGCTCCGCATCTGGGGGTGTACCGCTTATGTCTTCCTCAATCCTCATGATCGCCGCGCCCATGGTGGCAAGTTCGCTCCCAAGACTCAGACATGGGTCTACCTTGGTCACAACCTCGATTCTCCAGGCCAAATTTTGTCCTCAATCCATCCACTAATCAACTCATCCGTAGCCGAGATGTCGCTTTTGACGAGACTCGCCCATTTTATCTTCACTCGTCTCCCGCCCCCGCTCCACCTTCGCTCGTCTGGGCCGATTTCGACGCCTCGCTCTCCATCCTCGCTGCCACCACTCCTGATTCCTCTACCCTCTCCTCCTCACCCGCTCCGTCTCCATCCGCTGTTTCCCACCCTCCTTCCCCCGCCACCTCGGGTGCTCCCTCTTCCCCTCCTCCCGCCCTGTCACCATTGCCTGCGCCTTCCTCCCCCCCTTCTCCGGCATCCGCACCTGCCGCTCCCCCTCCCGCCGCCCCACCCGTCACCTATCGGCGTCGTCGCCAAGGTCATTCTTATGTTTCCGTCCCACCTACTCCTCCGCCGCCTCCTTCCTCCCCCGTCGCTCATCGTACCCGTTCTCATGGTCCCATCCAGCCTCTTGCTCTCTCCGTCCGCATCTCCCTCAATCCGCCTCCTCCTGCCGGGGGTGCACTCATGCCTGGCCTGCTGGAGGATAGGCATGAGGAGCTGATTGATATCGATGCTGCCATTCGCCAGCTCTACTATCTCTTCCCCGATCTTGCAGACGATCCAACCCTCAACTTCTCAGACAATCCATCCATCCCGACCCCGAACACGTACGATGAAGCCATCTCTGGGCCGCACTCCCCGCAATGGCTCGCAGCCATGATCGCCGAGTGTGAAGCATTCATTTGCAACAACTCCTTCACCGACGTCTCTCCTCCTCCAGGAGTGAACATCGTCCGCGGCAAATGGGTGTTTCGTGTCAAACAGCTACCTGGTGAACTTCCGGTCTTTAAGGCACGTTACTGTGCCAAAGGCTACACACAGAAAAAAGGGTTGGATTTTTTTGACACCTTCTCCCCAACGGCTAAACTGCCTACCCTTCGCACTCTCCTTGACGTCGCTGCTCGAGGCAACTTCGAGGTCCACTCTATGGATGTCTCAGCGGCATTCCTGCAAGGAGACCTTCCTGAGGATATTTTCATGGAACGGCCTCAAGGGTTCCCCTTATCCTTTCCACCCAGAACAGTCTGGAAGTTGAATCGACCCATCTACGGGCTGAAGCAAGCTCCTCGCGAATGGCATAAGAAGCTGAAGGCCACCCTTGAGTCACTCGACTTTCATCCTTCTGCCGCCGATCCGAGCCTTTTCATTCGCAAGAACGAGAAGCCGTTCTTCATTCTCGTCTATGTTGACGACATGATCCTCGTCTCCAAGGACTTCGATCAGCTGGCAGCAGTCAAGCAAGCCCTAGGGGACACGCACGCGATGAAGGATCTCGGCGAACTTAAGAACTACCTTGGGATGGAAATCACGCAGGATCGTGAAGCCTAAACCATTACTCTCTCCCAAGAGTTCTACGTGAACAACGTCCTCAAGCGCTTCGACATGGACGAAGCCAAGTCAGTGGCTACGCTGCTTCCCCTGCAGCACGATCTGACTGCCCCGCCAGTTCCATCACCTGAGCCTTGTGATGCAGCTGATCGCGAGCTCGTCGGCTCACTCATGTATGCGATGATGTGCACAAGGCCCGATTTGGCCTATCCCATCAGCGTGCTCTCACATTACGTTGCTGCTGGTCGTTACACCAATCGCCACTGGTCAGCTGCTAAGCTTGTCCTTCGCTACCTTCAAGCCACCAAGGACTACGTCCTCACTCTCGGTGGCACGTCCCCTCCTCACCTCGAGGGGTACAGTGATTCCTCATGGGCTGACGACCAAGCTGACCGACGCTCCTCCCAGGGCTATTGCTTCACCCTTGGTAGTGGTGTCATCAGCTGGCGGCGATCTACACGCTCATCGTCCGTCTCTTTGTCGTCCTGCGAAGCAGAGCTGTACGCAGGCACCATGGCAGCCCAAGAAGCCCGATGCTTACCTATCTCATGGCTGAGCTTGGGTATCCTCAGCGGACCCCGACCCTATGGTGTGACAACGAGAGCACTATACACCTTACCAAAGACCCTGGCTTCCACCAACGGACCAAGTATATCGAGCTTCGGCACTTCTTTATGCGCGAGTTGGTCCAGCGTGGCCAGTTGTGGGTGAAGCACATTTCTTCTGACTGCAACCTCGCAGACCTGTTCACCAAGTCTCTTGGACGCCGTGACCACTACCGCCTCCTCCGTGCTATGGGTCTTGGCGTCCCGATGACTTCAGCCGTTGCAGCCTAGGGGGTGTGTTGGAGATAGGCTGCAATGTTGCACATTTGTGTGTTAGTCATTTGTTTGTTTAGGGTTAGGAATGTTTGTTAGGTTGGTTGTAGCTTTTTTATCTCCAACCTATCCCAACCCAATCCATCCCAAATCCCCACGATTTGGGAGGATTCCCTTGGGATTCCCTCCGATTCCCCTTATCCTTTCCAACCCTCTCCTATGGTTGGTACTTAAGCTTGTATGCCCTTTCTCATTTTAATCAATCAAAGTCCCATTTTCTTACATGTGATCACGCTCCCGTGAGGCCTCAAAATCGTGCAGATAGTAACCAGTCAGCTGCTGCCTTCCGTGTATGAGAGTGGTGCTCCTGGGATCGCTCACATCCTGTCATATCGCGGCGGTCCCTCGTATTACATGTGTACCACCCCTCTCTCACACCACCTGAACTTCCCATGTCATGCCATGTCCGCTCTCCCTCTCACGCCTTATTCGCCCCCTCCCCTGCCCTTCCCCTCCCCTGCCCTTCCCCTCCCCTGCCCGTCCCTTCCCCTGAACGCCCCCGCCCTTGCAGGTGGAGGGCGTTGTTATGATCAGAGTGAGCAAGAGGGCGCTCTGCTCCGCATTTAACAACGTGTCAGCAACCCTCCCCTACCCATCACCTTCCCGGTCGCACTGTGTGTGTGAGCTCCTCTCCTCCCCCCCTGCCGTCTTGCCCTCCTGTCCTTATCCGCCCGTGCAGGTGGAGGGTTTTGTGATGATCGGCGTGAGCAAGAGGGCTCTTTGCGCCTGGCTCGCTGCCGCCCTGGACAAGGTGCGGTGCGGTGCGATGCGGTGTTGTGTGCAGTGTGATGCGGTGTTGTGTGCAATGGGATGCGGTGTGGTGTGCGGTGTGATGCAGTGTTGTGTGTGGTGTGATGCGGTGTGGTGTGCGGTGTGATGCGGTGTTGTTTCTGGTGTGATGCGGTGTGGTGTGTGATGTGGTGTGGTGTGCGGTGTGATGCGGTGTTGTGTGTGGTGTGATGTGGTGTGGTGTGGTGTGGTGTGGTGTGGTGTGTTGTATGATGCGGTGTTATGTGTGGTGTGATGTGGTGTGGTGTGTGATGTGGTGCGGTGTGCGGTGTGATGCGGTGTTGTGTGTGGTATGATGCAGTGTAGTGTGTGGTGTGATGTGGTGTAATGTGTGGTGTGATGTGGTGTAATGTGTGGTATGATGTGGTGTGGAGACAAGGTAGTGCCTTCCTGTCAAACCGCAATGCTTGGAGCCAAACCAATGTGCCTGTCCCCGCGCCTCATCCCGCAACACAAATGGTGTTGTGAGGCGCGCTCGATTCTGCTTCTGTAGACCTGTGTCTCAAATTTATGCGAAATCCGTCCAGTAAACCTGCCCCCGGCAGAGCCAGTGGTGGCACACCCAGTGTTGGGACTGTTGTAAAATATATATCTATACAACATGCATGCCTAGATTAGGAGGTGTAGTCATTCTAATTATTGGGGGTTGTTGGTTGGGTTGACCAACCCCACATTTGGGTTGGTCAAGATTGGATTTGGTCCTAGACATTTGGTTGGCACTATTCCAACCAAATGGTCCTTGGTCCTAGGAACCAACCAATCACCAAGCACCACACTTTGTGGTTGCTTGCCTTCCAAGCAATCTCTCTCATTGGTCCACATTGTGGCCAATCGGAGAGCACCACACTTTGTGGTTGCTTGCCCTACAAGCAACCTCTCCCATTGGTCCACTTTATGGCCAATAGGAGAGCTTCCCTTCCAACTCTTCCTTGCTCCTTGTTTTGTACAAAAGAGCCTCTTGGCTCCCTACTCAATTCAATCTTTTCTCTTCCAAGCTAGTTCCTTCAGGGACACCGTCCTTCAATCTGCCCTTTGACACTTCCCCGCCCTCACCCCCCGCCCTCCCCCACCTGACACCCCATCCCGTTGGTGCAGCGCGTGGTGGGGCTGATCTCGTACGGCTACGACTTCTTCAACATGCGCGCCACCTACCGGCACATGTTCCGCTCGCTGGGCGGCTGGCCCATCCTGCTCCGCTTCCACGTCGACTACAACCTAACCCGCAAAATACTCGAACCGGAATTCAAGAAGTTTGTGGTAAGCCGCCAGTCATGCACAGGCGCATATTTGATATCGCGTTCTTGTTTTAATGCGGATTGTGTGCGTGGAATTGTCTATATAAGAGAGGTGGCTTCCCCACTTTTCTGGCCTTACTGGTGCATGAGTGGGCTCATATGCAGGTGGTGCATTATGTCCTTAAATTCCACTTTCCAACTTCTCTTGTTCACCCTTCCCTTCTTATTCTCTCCGTACTCTTCGTATTCTTCTTTGCTTACTCTCCCAAGTTTCTCGTTTCCGTTTCCTGTTTTCTCGGTACTCTCACTATTTTCTCCTGATTCCCCCCTTACGTAGCGCACCTTATTTTCTCACCCTTTTCTCGCTCCTGCATGAACTCGTTGCCAGTGCGCCACACCCACACCCACACCCACACCCACACTCACACCCACACCCACACCCACACCCACACCCACACTCACACCCACACCCACACCCACACCCACACCCTGGGACCTGGTTGGCGCCTATATGTGCCTCGAGTGCCGTATACCCTCCCCACGGATCTTCTTATTCTCACTTCCCCGCCTCATTCCCACCTGATTCCCACCTGATTCCCACCTGACCCCCACCTGATCTCCACCTGATGCCCACCGGATCCCCACCTGATTCCCACTTGCATTGTCTGTGGGCGACGCCCACACTTAGGACCTGGTGGACGCCTACAGCTACCGCGAGCGCCTCACCATGGCGAAGCTGGTGGTGTCGGCCGCCAACGATGAGTTCTTTGCCATGGACGACAGGTGCGTGCACAGGGCGCTGGTGCTGCATGTGCTCGAGTGGACAGTGATGGTGGCACGCCCTGCCTGGGAGGGCAATGTAGTTGTGACCACAGCAGCCGAGCTGGTGGTGAATGGCGTTGATGATGAGCTCTTTGCCAAGGACGACAGGCGCGAGGATAGGATGGGAGAGGGGAGGATGGGTAGGTAGCAGCAGGTGGGTTATAATCAGAAGGACCTAGACATGATGGCCCAGCTGGTGGTGGTGTCCGCTGGTTATGATGACCTATTTGCCACAGACGACAGGTGCAAGGAGAGGATGGGAGAGGGGAGGAGGGAGAGAGGAGAGAATGTGAGAGGGTTGGTAATCGAGGGATAGTAGTTGAGGGGTGGTGCTCATGTGAGCTGTGAGGAGGAGCAAGCCGCTGCGGATGAGATTTGTGAGGTGGAGGGCGCTGATGTTCCCCTAGGGCCACCTTTCTCATTCACATGTGCCCAATCCAACGTGTTCTCCAACATCCCTTCCCCTTCACGCCTCCACACCCTAGACACGGCTTTCTAGCTGCACACCTACAACTACGATTTCACCAATTTCTCTTCCCGTTCGCGCCAACACACTTGAACCCCTTAACCCTATCCGCAGCTACAACTACTTCGCCGGCCTCCCAGAGCCCAAGTTCCTCAAGGTGGTGCCCAACATCGACCACATGGTGGTGCACCTGTCGCAGTGGGTGAGCACAAGGGGTGGATGAAGCGTGGTGGCCGTGCTTGGTTACTGGGTGCGGGGCAGACGCCTGTTCCTCACTGTGCTGCGCAACATCGACCACACGGTGGTGCACCTGTCGCAGTGGGTGAGCACAAGGGGTGGATGAAGCGTGGTGGCCGTGCTTGGTTACTGGGTGCGGGGCAGACGCCTGTTCCTCACTGTGCTGCGCAACATCGACCACACGGTGGTGCACCTGTCGCAGTGGGTGAGCACAAGGGGTGGATGAAGCGTGGTGGCCGTGCTTGGTTACTGGGTGCGGGGCAGACGCCTGTTCCTCACTGTGCTGCGCAACATCGACCACACGGTGGTGCACCTGTCGCAGTGGGTGAGCTGGAGCGATGGGGAGCAGCAGTGATGGGGAGATGGAGCATCAAGTAGGGCTAGGGCTGAGAAGGAGCGCCTGTGTGTTGCTCAAGGTATTGCCCAACATCGACCACATGTTGGTGCACCTGTTGCAGTGGGCGAGAGACTCATGATGCTCTTGCTTATCTCTAGCAGGGCATGCACCCGTCCATAACTCACAAGTTACTCGGGTGTGTGTTTGGAGTCCATATTTCTTCCATATTTCTTCCATATTTCTTCCAGATTTCTTCCATATTTCTTCCATTTTTTTCCCCCAAACTCACACCCTGCCTCTCCTCCCCCTCCCCTCCCCCCCAGGGATACGACGCCTGTGCGTCCTTCTTCCTCACTCTCCTCAACGACACCTCCTCCTGCGCCTCCCTCCCCTCGTCCGTCCGCCCGTCCCTCACCTGGCTGCCTCCCAACGCCTCCTCCCCTACCCGCTCTCAGCAATCCTCCTCGTCTTCGTCCCCCACCTCCACCAATCCCACCACCACCACCACCACCACGACCAGCAGCGGCAGCATTGGAAGGGCGGGGCTCTTCTCTCTGGCCTTAGGGGCCGACCCGTCTCCCCCTCCGCTGCTGCTGCCCTGGTCCTGCTCCCCCTTACTCACACATGTGCACTGGCCCAAACTGACCTGGCGCTTGGACTGGCCCTCCTACACCATCCATGCCACGTCAGAGGTTAAGCCCGCGGCTGTGCTAGCATGGTGAGGGAATGGTTGGTAATAGGCATTACCCCGTGGTGAGGCTTTAAGATGGGGAAAGACCCAAGACTGTATCGAGGCATTTTATAGTTTGAGCGCGATTGGGGAATGGTAAGGCATAGGGATATGATACAGCATTGGAAAGAACTCAAGCTAGCTGTGTTGCGGTTCACATTGCGCCTTGGAACCACCCCTGAGCTGTGAATCGCCTCCATGGCACCGTCTGCACCTCTCCGCCACACTAGCTGCCCGTCCGACCGCCTCTCTCCAACCAGTCTGACCATTGGGTTGAGTAAAAAATGCATGTCAAGCCGTCTCTGACTCCCTCCCCAACACCGGCTTTCCACCACACAGCATGTCTCTTTGCCCATTGCGTTGCGTGCTTGCATCGCATGTGTGGAAATCGCTGCTGCTGGCCCCTTCAGTTGATCGTCACTTGTGCTCGTTTCTGCAAGTGGCTTCCCCTTCCCCCCTTTCTCTCTCCCACGCTCTCCCACGTTTTCTCACCCTCTCCCAATCTCGCTCTCTCTCCCACTCTCTGGCACCCTCTCCCAACAACCCCCACTCACCCCCCCCCCCCCCCCTCACCCTCTGCCCCCGCCTCCCCCCCTAGGACTGGCAAAACGTTCGTGGGCAGCAAACGACGCGACTTCCGATTCATTCTTCACCAGGGGAGAACGGGATGGTGAGAGCCATGGGATGGTGAGAGACATGGGATGGTGAGAGCCATGGGATGGTGAGAGCCATGGGATGGTGAGAGCCATGGGATGGTGAGAGCCATGGGATGGTGAGAGCCATGGGATGGTGAGAGCCATGGGATGGTGAGAGCCATGGGATGGTGAGAGACATGGGATGGTGAGAGCCATGGGATGGTGAGAGCCATGGGATGGTGAGAGCCATGGGATGGTGAGAGCCATGGGATGGTGAGAGCCATGGGATGGTGAGAGCCATGGGATGGTGAGAGCCATGGGATGGTGAGAGCCATGGGATGGTGAGAGCCATGGGATGGTGAGAGCCATGGGATGGTGAGAGCCATGGGATGGTGAGAGGACAATATTGTTGCGGACAAAATCCTAGTGACATGTGGCATGTGGCATGTGGCATGCAGCAAAAGTAGCGCAAAAGCAACAGGTGTAGCATGCTTTTAGTGAGTTTCTCGTCAACTACTGATCCCATACTGACCCTCTTATAGTTTGAATGTTCCTGTGTGTGATGCATATTTCGTGCATCATGAGTTCCTTGGCTGTATCCTTCGTAAAAAATCATCATGTTTATCCTATACATTGTATCCTGTTATCTGTGCCTTTCCTGACTATACATTCTGCGCGAGCTGCGTGCACATGAATAACGCTATATGGCTTGTCATTTCATATAATGTCACTGTGCGGCATGTGACTGTACTGCAGTGTGATCCCCTTCAGGGGTGATGCATCAAGCTACGTGGGCAAGCTGGGCAAGCTGTGTGTGCAGCCCATCCCATTCTTCCCCGATAAAGTCACACCCCCTACAAGGGGGGACGACGGCAAGTGGCATTTCAGTGCCACTGTGAGCGACATTCCCAAGGTGAGGATCCGAGTATCCACCCGGTACTAGTGATCGTTACGGAGAGACATTCCCCAGGGGAGGCTTGACTGCTGGGGAGCGGTACTTTCGAGAAGCTTGCTTCGCTTGCACTCCATCTGATACGCCGTGAAGCACCATGACTTCCCCAGTCTCTTGCGTTGCTGCTCTCTGTTGGTTTGTCGTTGTGTGCTGGCAGGTGGGGTATCGAGCGCTGTGGATTCAAGTGGACTACGATCTACCGAGTTACCACAAGCCCTTTTCCATCACCACAGAAGCAATCATTGCGCCAAACAATTACCCCTTTGAATATTGCGACACGGCAAAATGCCATAATGTACTCGTGTAACAGTTCAAGAAAAGAATGGTATATTCTTGTGTAGCGTACTTGAAAATAAAGATCAATGTGCTGAAGCATCATGGACCAGGCTCCCAAATTGGTTTTGGGCCTGTCTGATTCGTCAGAGTCCACTGCCTTCCCTTGGTATGGGTGTCAGAGTTACCTCCTTGAAAAAGTCTGAAAAATCAGAGTAGCCTTCGATGTTTTGTCTGACCGATCAGAGTCATAGCCAAACTTTTGTATGAGCGTTTTTTATGGTTCCTCATTAGAGAATGCACTACATTTCAATCAGGGCCCTAGATTGGTTTTGAGGCTTCCTCATCCATCAGGATTCTCCCTGCAGAAAAGTCTGAATTTTCAGGGTCCCCTAAAAAAAATCCTGAGCCATCAGAATTACTTCAAACAAAAAAAATACTGATTTCTCAATATTTCTATACATGTTATAGCTCATGAATTATGTGTGTTCAAGTCTTGGTTTTTGGGGGTGCTGGGAATTCGTAGCGAATTCGCGCGTGTGGGGCGAGCTTGGGGGATGGGCTGGAAACGACAATTGGTGGGGGGGAGAGGGGGGAAGGTCTGAATAGGGGGGGAGGCGACGAGATTGCAGGGGCGGAGGGAATCTCTTCCCTCGCAGAGCCCTAGGGCAGGCGCACATCAAGCAAATTCGGCCAAGGGCCAGCAATTGCCCTCACACAGTCCTCAGCACAGTCCTCAGCAATTGTCCTCAGCGAATACATGGCTAAGGGCCGATGACCTCCCTCACATGACCTCTAACATACAGCGCGGAGATTTTTTTTACCAAGGGCCAATCAGCGCCCTCACACAGCCTCGGGGGGTGGGGGAAGGGGGGGGGGGGAGAACCTCAAAATTCTTGACTGCCTCCCCTAGACATGCTTTTGGAAAGGACTAAGACTCGCTACAATGCTGAGAAATTCAGGGTTCGCTAAGAAACCTTGCTGAGCGATCAGAGTTTACCCTTACAAAAAGCCTGAAAAAACAGGGTGTGTCATTTACAAAACCCTGCACAATCAGGGTAAGTACCGAGAAACTCCCTGTTTTTTTCCTGAATCAGGAAAAATTTCCTGACTTCTGGGGGCCTGATTTCAATACATACACCGTATCAGTCAATATCCTGCATATCCTGCTGAGGCGCTGCCGGCATATCATCATCTACTTTCTCCTTTCCCTTCCTGCTGCTACTAGCCTCGGGCAGGGCGTTGCTAAGGGGCTTCCTCTTCTTATAAGCCCGCCAGATGGTGACCACCTCTTCCCAGTCGGGGTCATACTCTAGCTGCGACATGCACATCAGATCTCCTAGCCTAGTATCCTTGAGAGCCCCCCGCAGCCAACTCTTGATGACGTTCTGGCGGGAGAACCCGCGCTCGCACTCGACAGTGCTCAACGGAAGGACAGCCGCCGCCACCCACAGGTTGACCAGGTTGGGGTAGCTGTCCCTCCAGTCCTGCGTCTTGAGCATGGCGCTCAGCCCCGCGTGGAATGACTTGTCCGCCTTGGGAAGCGCAGCAAGGACGGGGACGAAGTTGCGGAGCTCGCTCTGGGCTTTGCGCTTGTCTATACCTGCTCAGACAAGGGCACACAAGGAGAGGGAGAAGGGTTGGATTATCGGAAACAGTACACAGGGTTTAGGAAAAGATATGCGTCTTGTTTCAGATACATTGCCAAAGGGATACTGAAAGGAGTAGATGGTGATTCACCTGGCAGACTCTCGTCCATGTCTTCAGCGCGGTAGATGACCACGAGCGAATTGAACCACTCGAGGCACTGCGTCCTCCGTGCCTGTCGGTCCCAGTTGGGCAGCCATGTGTCGGCGCTGAACAGGCGCGCTCCCGATAGCTGCCGCAGATCGCCTAGGCGCTCGTCGAGGTTGCGGACCAGGCCCTCCGCTAGAGCCATGCACGTCACGACACTCCCATCGTGGTCGCTAAGCCCCGAGTAGTCCTCTTGGGGCTCTTCGTGCAGCTCGAAGGTGAACCGTGAAGGTCGGCCATCGGAGTCAATCCCCTCCACTGTCACCAGCTTGGACTTGCCGGGCCCGTGCTTGGCGAGGAACCACGTCAATCGATCGTTGGGCCCGCCGGTGAAATCGTCCCCACAATCTACGTAGCGGCTCTCTAGCAGCGAGGTCGTGCGGATGATCTGCTCGTGCAACGTTGTGTAATCCAGCTGGTGGGTAGGGGGGCGAGGAGAGGTAGGGCATCACAGACGGATGTGTGATTAAGGGACGACCAGCACGTCGGCGAGGAACATCAGGAGGAGCTAGAAGCGGTAACTGGTAATGAGTGCGTACAGCTTGGCGTCGTACTCCTGCAGCATGACCACGATGGCTGGTAGGACCTCGACCAGGTGGATGACCGCATCTCTGCGCGACAGCCAGCGGATGTTGTGGATGCCCTGGAGCTCGAGGTTCGTTGACATGAACACCTCCTGGAGCTCCAGGAACCATTGATGCCAAGGGTTGGAGCGACCGAGCAGCTCAGCGATCTCGCAAATGATGTTGTCCACCATGCTGAAGACAGGGATCTCCTCGGCAGCAGCCTTTGCCACCAGCACCTCTCTGCAATGGGATAAGGAGATGAGATGCAAACTAGGAAGCAAATTAGGGATTGGAATTATAAACAAAACAAGAAGCAAATATACATGACATGCACTTCAAACGGATGACGAACTGATGGGCAATGCAATGGCAAGAGACAAGGTGCATAACGCGAAGACGAAGGCGGGCCACAAGTCCAGAGCGCGATCCCATCATGACGGCAGCGCCGTCAGTGCTTATGCCAGAGATGCGGCCGAGGTCGACGCCAATCGCCTGCAGATGGGACAACAAGAGGGCGAGAAGCGATGCCGCATCCGCCTTCTCCACTGTCAACAGAGCCAGGTACTTGGTTACAAGCCGCCCTTCCCTGATGAACGTGGCAAACACTATCATGTGCTTGCCACGGCAGCGATCGATGCTTTCGTCGAGGCTCAAGCCAATGTAGGGACTCGCCAGCAGGTGTTGGAGTTGAGTCGTCTGCAGCCACGTTGCCGTCGCTTGTGTCAGCTCGCCGAAGCCGTACCTGTTACATGACACGCACAAGCCAAGTTGTTGTACGTTACATATGTAAAGACCAGACAGAGAGAAGTTCATAGTCACTTGAGTTCTCACCAGTTATAGTACGTGCCGTAGGCAGACTTCGGGAAGCCCTTGAAACTGCGCGATGAGAGGTATCGCACCAAACGAATCCATGTTTCCATGGGTTCGTTACACTTGGCGCAGAAGTAGAGGGAGTCGAGCAGCGCGATGACTCGCTCCTTCTCTTTGTCGGCCGCGCGAGGATGCTTATTGATCCGCTGCTGGTTCGACGCCAGTTGCAGGAGATCGTCCTGCTTGGGCATGGCGAGGCGATGCTTCTGCGTCCCGGCGTGCTTCTTGAACGACCGGGTCTGCATGTCCGTTTCTCCCTTGCCTGATTTGCCGGTACGCCCTGCGGGTCCTGCATGCACTGCGCATACACTGCACTTGAAGGCCGGGAGCCCATCGTCAGTTTTCAAGAGCATGAGCCAAGGGAATCTGTCAGACCAGCGAGATTTGAAACGCTCTTGTGCCTCAGCATAGATGTCCTTGTTCGTTCTAGTAGTGGACCTACCGCCAGACGATTCTGGCGTATCCGCAGGTACAAAGGGGCTCGGCACAGGCTCAGGCGGATCCTGGCATGTCGACGAGGAGGCGTACGGCAGAATCACCTGCCTGTACCGGAACCTCTTCGCTGCCGTCACCGACGGCGTGGTGCCGGCGACAGGAGCTGAAGCAGTGGGCAGGGGGCTTGCATCCGCAGACTTCTTGCACGCTGCGTCAGGAACAGGCGCATTGCCATCGGCAGGGGCAGCGTCACTAGGCTTCCTCTGAGGGCAACGATCTGAGGCATTCGACTGCCGCAGGAAATTTAGTGCGGCGGGACCATCGCGGAAATTCTCGGCACACCAGTACTCTTCTTCTTCTTCATGATAGTCTGCCTCGTCTACGTCCTCATCGAGGTCGGCCTGCTCCATGGCTTGCAGGCGCGGTGGGAAAACAAACGCACTGAAAGAAAACCGAGGGGCTACATGAAGCTTGGGTGAAGTTTTGCTGGAGGGGGGAGAAGCAGGGTCGTTTTCCTTGTGAGTAATGAACTGATGGAAAAGGAGGGGGTTTGCCAGCTGCAACTCCATCGCAGCGCGCGAGATGCTGTCCATGCATGAATGAACCAGGCACTCGGCGCGTCAGCATGGGTGCGGTGCCTCGTCTGCTGTGCCTCACCCAACAAAATGCGTATGGATTGGCGAAAACAACCGTGTTTTGGTCAAGGACCTATCGGCTGCTCGGGCTATCTCTATGCTAGCGCCATCGCACAAAATTTGCCCGCCCGACGGCTCGGGCCATGCCAACGCAAATGTAAATCTGACGTGATTGATGGTGACGACAGAGTTACCAGCGCAAATCTCGCAACCCCCCCTAAAATGACGGTATTACAGGAATCAGAGTCCCCCCCCCATACAAGGATGAAGCATCAGAGTACACTTGTAAAAGAAGTCTGAAAAATCAGTGTAGGTACATAAAACTTCTCTGAAAAATCAGAGTAACATAGAAAAAAATTCTTTGGGATCAGAGTACACCCCCAAAAGAAGTCTGAAAAAAGTCTGAATCAGAGTAAAAAGTCTGCAATTTGGGGGCCATGGATCACTAGGTGTTTCTGCAAAGACGATGTCTTGCAAGCAGCTGACCCCTGCAATTTCCTATGACTATGACAAGCAAATTTAAATACTGTAGTCTGCAACAAAATCCATTCCATGCTTGCAGATGCAGATGCAAGCACCGCGGCCACATGAGCACAAAATGATGATGCTTTGCAATGAGGCAGGCAGAGCATAAGTCGCCAAGGTCAACCACAGCTACCGGTATCAAATGTCCTGGCTGGTGAAGAGAAAGATAAGACCATGAACTCGTTGGCTACAAGCACCCCTAGCGTTGTCGTTCCCCATCATATATATCCAACCCATACAATCCCCCCAACTCTACACTGTCTTTTTGTTGTGTGCACTTTTTTAAACCTAGAAAACGCAGGCTCTTGAGCTCAGTGATATCTTGTGGCAAAGCCTGCAGCGGCATACACCCGTGCAAAGAGAGCTTCCTCAGTCTGGTCAACTGGGCAAAGTTGGAAGGGAGTGGGTGT